GAAGTTCGCCATCTTACGGGTGGGGGCCCTTCAAAGATGTATAGGCAGGGAGAAAACAGGGGTAAAGAAGATGATGAGATGATGGAAGATGAAACTTAAAATTACTTGCAGAGATAAATTTAAGGGTCTTACTCTATCTTATAATCCCATGGTGATTTCTGAGATATAAGAGAATTTTTAAATTTAACAGTAAACTGTGGCAGAGAATACATTTGTGATAAAGCAACAACTTTGTTTTTAGGTCAAAGCTATTAAAAAAAAACTTGTTTTATATTTAAAATTAACTTTATATGAGTTCTCTTTAAATCTTTGTGGGATAAAGAAATAGAAATTATGTCAGGTAAGAGGACAGGATATATATAGTCTTACTTATTCACCTCTTGTTGGCTCCCTGCCTGTATGCAGTCACGTGCAATTTAAAAAAAAGACGTAACCGTTTGGAGTAACCCTGTTCTAGCAAAAAACCAGCAACGGTATGAAAGTCCATATGGTTAAGTAAGAGTAATGGGTAAGTAAACTGTGGTAGATTTATGTAATTATACCATGCAGCAGTAATAAATGTTTGTTCTCTTTTAAATTATATTTTATTACATAATTAAATTATTATATTGTTATATAATATTTTAAATAATAGGCAGATCCATTCCGTCATTCATAGAACAAACATTTATTGAGTCCCTACAAATTCTAGGTTCTGGGAACAAAGCAGAGAACATGCTAGATTATGGTCCCTTCCCGTGCTAGTGGGGAAAAAATATAACAAGCAAACAGATAAGATAATTTCAGTGCTATAAACAAAATACAACAGGATAATATGACAAAAGCATATAGGAGATGGGGGCTCCATTAGCTAAGATGACCAGGGAAACCTTCATTGAAAAAATGCTATTTAAGCTGAGATTTGAATGATGAGGGGAAGCTATTCATATGAAGAAGTAGGGAAGAGTGTTCCAGGTAAGGGAGAGGGCAGTGGCAAAGGCTGTGATGTTGAGTTGGAGAAATAGGCCATTGTGACTGGAATGGAGTTTAAGTCAAAGAAAGTAGGGGCCAGATAACATAAGACCTTCATGACATTGTGGTGTTTGAATTTCCTTTCACCTACTGATCTTCCTCAATTTATAATGGGGGTTACATCCCAATAAATCCATTTAAATTGAAAAAGCTAAGTTGAAAATACATTTAATATTCCTAAGGCTATCAAACATGAGTGAGCCTCTAAAAGGTAGTTTCACTGTAGGACACATAAAAGCCCCATGTGGCTGGTCTGTAGACTCTTCCTGAGCCTCAGGATCTTCATGGTGTATTAGTGGGTTTCTGGATATGTTGTTAGTTTGTTTTACAACCCTCTGGTGAGAGTTTGGAAGTTGGAAATATAACTTCACATTCAAAGTTCTCCTAACTCAGTGGGGCCTACTCTGAATAACTGCAGCTATAGCAGCCATGAGGTCATGTCACAAAAATTTAAGGTGTTGGGCTTCTTCATATAAAATCCAGGATTAATGTATGAAATTCCTTAGTTCTCCTTTTAATAAGTAAACAAGACTTAAACCAAAACACTTAGGTCTTCCTTTATCACAAATATTTTGAAAAAAATACTTCAGTATCAAACAGTAGTTTTGATTCCCTTCAAGTTGGGTGTCATTTCATCCATGAGCTGAGTGAGCAATAAATAGTGCAGCTCTTCCACTGGTAAAGAAAGGCAACACTTCACTATATCCATTGTTTGTTAATTATTCAATGAACTTTTCAGCTTTATATCCTACCTCTCTCTTCCATGTACCTTGATGCTCCAGACAAACTGCAATCTATTTGTTTGCCAAGTATGTCTAACACATTCCCATTTGTGTGCTTTGCTTCATCCTATTTCTTCTACCTACAATGTGTATTCTGCCCCACTACATTGCTCTTAACTCATCAAAATTTTATTTCATTTAGAACTGTTCAACAATGCATCATAAAGTTATATATAGTCTGCCTGACTGAGGAAGTATTGGTTGTACATGATTATCTACTAATGTTACTGACAAGACTGATGAATTTGGTAAGAAGTTGCAATGTATGAGCTCTAAGAACCAAAATACCTAAAATATTTTATAATTCAGTAATTACACTTAACATATATAATATAGTAGAAAATGCAGGCTCTTTTTTAGGAAAGGTAGAAAAATATTTCAGATGTAAATGCCATATTCAGATTTATAATTAATAATGTTTATAAATTATAAGTTAGTTACACCTTGTGTCCATGAATAATTTAAATAATATTCTGGGAATATACTGCCAAAAGAAATAAATATTTTTAAAATGTTTATTTTGTAAAGCCATTTGAAACATTTTGTTGAGTAGAAAATATTGAGGGAGTATAACTTTTTTTTAACAATTACTATTTCAAAATTGTTATCACAGGATTTCAATCAGAAATGAGCAAAAGTGACATTACCCATTAAAATGAGTTTGGTGAATATTATCCCTTAAATCAACCCAGATAAAGGGGATAAAGGGATACTTTATATATTAAGGGAATTAGAAGCTATTTTATTGGTAGCAACTCCAGCTGGGTCTCCTAAATCTGGACCTGGAGACCTTTGGAATCCAGTGGAGCTTTTTAAAAAGTCTTGTTTAAGTAGATAGTTAAGCGCTGGATATATTACCTTTACATTTTAATTATAAATATTACTTGAATCATAAAAATCACAGATTGTGAAGTAGTTGGTTATGTGAATGACCGAAGATCTGCTGTACAAAGTAATATTATCAGACACATTTACATAGCTTATTACTAGAAACTAACATCCTTATATATGCAGAGTATTTTTTAAGATTTGATTTTAATTCTAAAAAAAATCTTAAAATTAATTTGGATACAAATCACATTCTATACAACAGTTAGAATGGTATTCCAGTAATTACATGCAAAACATTTAAAGAATCTAAATTATCATCCTTTAAATGTTTACACGGTGACAAAATTCCTACCAGATAAATTGGAAGCATTTATTTATAACTTCAACTTTTAAAACAGCTAAAACAATAAGTAAAAGGTAGACTATTATGTAATTTTTAACTTTAACATCATTGCTTTTTTGAGAATCTGATGAAAAACGTTTTCTGTCAGAAAAACGCACATACTGAAGCCTGTCTCAGGATTGAATAGTCATTCAACATATATTAATTGAATGTCTGTTGTACCCAAGGACCTAGAAGAAAATAGAGGCACAAGCTCTTATACCATGGAGCTTACAATCATAGAAATGAAGACAGAACATTTTAAAAGTAATAATACTTAAATAAGATATAGATTGTTGGTATGCACTACATGGTTGTTAGTTAAAAGTACCCCTAATTTAGGACAAGATATAAGCCTCGAATCTAAAGTAATACACTTGTAGTAATTTTTTAAAAAAAGAGAATCCATTTTACATCTCATAAGAAAATGTTATGTAACAAAGGAAACTTTACATGTATGTATTAAATCAAACAAAAACAAATATTGCAAGATAATAGTGGGTAGGTGTATGAACTTTTAAAACCTGAGGTAATGGGCTATATGACATTTAAGGTTGAAAATAAACCTAGTGATGTTGTAGACATCATGATAACAATTTGTTAGTATAGGTCATAAAGCAATTTTAAAGTTCATTTGGTTTTCAGAAAATGGAGAGAAAACCCTTAAAAAACAAACATTAGATACTCTGTCTTATCATGTTGTTTGCTGTACTAGGGGCCAGGCTTTTTAGACATCCATGGAAAATTCACCAAGACTAAAGATGATGAAAGGAAAAAAAGAAGGATAAATAGGAAATATCAGCTAGTTATGGTTAAGAAGTGTTTACTTCTGTAAACATTTTTATTTTTTTAAAATGCTTATTTTTTTAATTTTCCCTCCTAAGTGTCTCACAAGAAGGCATGCTTTGTTTATAAAGATTTGTAGTGGTCTAGTGGGTTTAAAACTTGAGAGCTTTCTAAAATGTCCTTTACAATTAACATGTTAAAACTACTTTTTATTGTGCTATTTATAAGCTTATGTAACTCCAATTACATTTCAAGTGTAAAAGTTTTCTTTTTAATTTATGTATACTACAGAAGGAATTGGAAGAACAATGACCAAAATTTGACAAAATATCCAGTATAGTAACATCCACTATGTCCAATTACTCTTCTCAAACTATTGCCTCTTCCCTTTCTCAAAATATATCCTTAGCAAACAACAAAAACTCCCTTCAGAAAAACTCATTCAACTATAAAGTTGCATTTTAGAAACGGGTCCTTATTGATGTCCAGATTAAACAGATTTTTAAATCAAAACATGTTAACAAGAATAAAATTGTTAGGCAATATATCTTTGTGTGATTATAAACTAAAAAACATTTTAGGGCTCATCTTTATCAAATGGTTTATGAAAATTTGCCTTTACATTATATTCACATCACTGAATTGACTTTTATGTTGTCTTTGAAAGACATTTAATAGACATTATTTATTAAGAAAGCTAGCAAATAAAATTAAAATAATGTGAACCTACTATAAGTAGCATTGCTTTATATTAGGTCTTAGGAGTTTCTGGCAGACTTAGTTTTTGTAATTCACATATCATGTCATTTTAAAATTACAAAATGCAATGTCCGTATGCATATTCTGCTTGAAAAAGTACCTGCTCCTAGAGTTCCTGAATTAATGGATTAGCAGTCAAGTCAACTACCTGTAACACTATTAGCCACAGATGTTACTGAAACATGTTTTTGCATAGTTTCTTAAAAAAATATTATGAAACTTTTCACTGAAATTGCAATATCAGAATGATTATAAATGGAGCTCAAAGTCAGTTTGAACGTTAAAGAATTTCTTCAATGTCTTCTGTTAGTGAAAACAGTGTTCTGTTTTTGAATAAAATGCTTCAGAGGAAAAGCCTGCTTAGAATGAAAATCCTAGATGTATTTGGTTACTCTCTACCAGATAATACAGACACAAATGCATAGAAAGCACACAAAAAAAACACACCCTTTAATCCTGAATTTGGCTTTTATTTTAAAATACATTTAGCATGGAACTATCATAGGACAAAAAATAATAATAAGACAAAGAAATGGAATCTTTTCAAATGCCTTTTAAGCTAGATACAAAATTAGTAAAATAGCATAAACCTAAATAATGGGAAATAGTCCTTAAAGTTCTATTAAGCACAATTTGAAACAAAAGTTCTTTGCACATTTTCCAACGTACCGATAAATTCCTAAGTGCCTTGGTTTCCTTTTAACCAATAGGGAAGGGTCTCAAATTTAGTTGCTTTACTTAAAATTATCAGATTCAATATTGGTAAAAATTACCATGTCCCTAAATTCTCAATCAGAATTATAAAAATATGAGCTCAAATAGTTATGCTGCCCCAAATAGAAACACCTTAAGTGATATTTCTGAATAATCAGATATTGCACAAAAGTCAGTAATTCTTCTCCTGATGTTCATTTATATGGAAAGTTAATTCTTTTTTATGAAAAAACTTACCACAAGTAAACTTAATGTTAACTTAATTACAACTACACTTCAAAATATAAAGGCACAGACAGAATAAAGAAGAGTTTAATACTATACCCAAATTTTCCACTATGTGAAAATAATAAAGTTGAAAAAGATAATAGGATCTAAAATACTGATACTGCTACATTTTATAATTTACCTTAAGTAGCTAATAATAAATGGTACTAAAAGTAACATTGCTCAGTCCAATCCTTTCCAAATAATTTAGAAAAATGGTTTGTTTACATATGAAGCATGTGCATTGTCCCATCTATAAATTTCAACTTTTACATTTCCATTCACTGGAAATATCTACCTGCAATATAAACCATCAAGACAATGTACAAAAAATATATCTTATTCTTATAACTTATAATACACAGAAAAAAAGCTACAAAAATGGAAATAATCTCCATTTAGCTTCCCAATAAATTAGTGAGAAAGTTTAGCCCATTCCACATTTCTTTCTAAACAAAGGCTAAAGAATTGAGGATGGTTTACTTCTAGCCCTGTCAGCTTTTTAAATGTTAGCATTTTTTAAATGTTAGCCTGATTATATATAACTTAAGATAAAGTTATCATCTTATTTTTATATCACAGTATACATAGCATTTATTAATTCAGCAACAGAAAGGCACACTTAGCAAGCAATAAAATTCAGTACCTGAATTATTAAGCTGATATCCAGAACTATTGCAAATAAAATACATTCAACACAGTGTTCAGAACTGGGTGAAAAAAAAAGAATCACAAAACTAATTTTTCTGCAAATTTGGTCCATTAAAAATGCCTCCCATGTTCAACATCATGGGTAACATGAAAGGTGCTGGCAGTGTAAACAAGAGGCAGTAAACCAATGTGTTAGCATGTGACTTCTGGGCTAGTAATTCTGCAATTCTATTAGGAAATGGCTCCCATAGTAGATATATGTTAAATATATTTGTTAATAACAACATACCTGTATTAAGTCCAAGTACACAGGTACAATGTTTGCATATTATTATTGATTTTATAGTTTTTTAAACTTAGGCATATTATATATAACATATATTAGATACATAATCGCATGTTATGTACTTAATATATATTATATACAACTGGAATCCATAACAGCACAAAACCCTCCAAATATTACAAGAACATTCTAAATGGATACTTATCATTTTCTCACTGTTGAAATAGCTCAGCTCACCTAAAACAATATTTGGATGTGCAATAACAAAATGCACTGACTCTTAGGAATTTACTTAAATAACCAAGTTAAATTCCTGCAAAAGCCCAACTCTGATTTGGCTTTTACCTAGAATATATTTTTAGATTATCAGTAACTGATACCCTCCTTTCTTATCATAAACAGTATTTCTCCATCAAGAGATACCAATAAAGAAAAATATGTAAGGAATCAAAAATGTGATAGAGAAACCAACCATTCCATAGGTAATATACCGATAAGGAAGTTCAACTTCCATGTGCTGTCTTGCTCTTCGAACATCATCACACGGTATACTGAAGATTTTACAAGCTAAAGGAATGGTGATCTTTTTCATCATATCTCTGACTATTAGTACAAATGCCATCCCTATAAGGATCCGCAATATGGCTTTTCCAAACAGAGTCATGGTAATGGGGGGCATAGCTAAAGGTAATATATCCAGAGAAGGATCTAATATTAGACCCACATTATAGATAACATGAGATCCACATGCAATTCCAGCACCACTTCCTAGAATCTCAGCTGTGTCTCCCCGGGATGTACTCCAGGTGTCGAGTGTGAAAGAAAAGATCCCTAAGGCTAAATGAAGCCCGATGATGATTAATGGTGCATATTTGTGAGTTTGATTGAAGTTGTCAATCAGGTCCACAAATGGATAGAAGATAGCTAAGATTAAAATGGTATATAGGAATCCAGCAATAATATCCTGGGAAAAGAGAAAAGTAGAATTGTTTAGTGTAATACTATTTTTTGGCATTTAAAAAAATAAATTTCACATTTCAAATGTTAGTAAATATAATTTTTTTTAATATGTCACATTCACAAAGTAAACTTTACTAAATGACCATAGAAAAGGTACTAAAACCTGCATAGTATAACAGAATTTATTGATAATAATAAAAGGATTATGTTTTCATAGTTTTGTCCTTTATTAATTAGCTAATATATACTAAAATTTATATTCAAATACTGGACAACAAACTATGTTTAAATTATGATGAAGTTTTCATTTCTGAGTAAAAGAGTATACTTATTTTTCAAAGAAACTATTTTCATTTTCATACATATTTAAATATATAATTATTTCCATGACTAAAGAGCCTATAAAGCTTGGATAGTTCCCTTTTCCAATTCTTCATTCACTGAACAAATAATGAATACCTACATTTGCCTGGTACTATTTTAGGGGCTGAGGATACACTGGTTTAAAAATAATGAGATTCCTGCTGTCACAGAGCTTACATTTTAGTGGGGATGACTGACAATAACCATGTAAGTAAAATAGTAGATAAAAACTACAATTTCAGACAGTTATAAGTGTTATGAGGAAAATAAAGCAGAACAATGCGATACTATAATAAAAGACCCTAGTAGAGTGATTACAGAAACCTGTCTGAGAAGGTAGCACTTGAGCACAGACCTGATTCCAAACAGGAGTCAGCCCTATCTTTAGGTTGAAGGAAAAGTGCTCCAGGTGGAAGGAATACCAAGTGCTAAGGCCTTGAGGCAGTGAAGAAACTAGTGAGTGAGTTCAAATCACTGAGAGAAATTCAGGATGGCTCAGATAGTATAGTATGCAAAAGAGGGATGTGGCATGGGGTCAAAGAGATAGGGAGAGTTCAAATCATGTAGGGCTCTTGGAGGCTAGGTAAGGAGTTAAGATTTTATGTCAAAAGTGAGAGGGAGCCTTTGAAAGATTCCGAAGTAGGAGTTTAACACAATCCGATTGATATTTGTAAAAGAACACTTATCTGCTGTGCAGAGAATGGATTATGGAGGAAAAGTGCAGAAGATGGGAGAGTACTAGTGGAAAGTACTGCAGTGGTTCACTCTAGATATGGTCCAAATCTACATGAAGAGTACATAGATGGATTCAGTAAAATATTTTTAAAAGTTGACAACTTCAACATGGTGATGGTTTGAAAGTGAGAGTGAAGCAAAAGAGAAAAGGATCAAGATGACTCCTAATTATAAGCACAAACAATTGGGTAGATGGTAAAGGATAGTTTACTGCAGGAAATAAAACTATTATTAAAATAACTTTCTTTTATGAATAATTCATGAACAAAAATGTTACAGAACTTCCAACTTAAAACAAAACCCAGGGATCTACTCTTTATATGAATATTTTATCAAAAGAGTTACTTATATTCACTGCCTCCACTTCCACACTTCCTTTTTTTTCTAAACTCATCAGTGCACTAAAACCACTCTTCATTGATACTAGTGGTCTTTATGCTGCCAAAAACAATGGTCATTTCTCAACAGTATTCAATACAGTTTAGCAACAGCCTACTTTAATGTTTTTCTGTCTTACAATTTTTATTATGTAATACTTAGTACATAGAAAAAGATATGTAAAGTGTATATGAAATTATAAAATTAATAGCTATGAATTCATTGCCCCAAAAAAGAAGTGTAATACCAGTACTTTCAATCTACTGATGTGCTCTCTTATTCTATTACTCTACATCTTCACCAGAGACAATTGTAAAATCAAGCTTTGGCTGAATAAATACCTGTTTTTAAAAGCTGTTTGTCACATATCTCCAAACAAAGTGTTACCTAGTTTTGCTTCTTTCTGAGCTTTATAAAAATGTTATATAGTATACAGTATCCTTTGATTTGCTTTTTACATTTAACATTATCTTTAAGGTTTATTCATTACATGTAGTTGTAGGTCTTTCACTTGCACAACTACGTAATATTTTGCTGTGATTAAATAACTTATTTATTTTAATTAAAGCATCACTGATACACAATCTTATAAAGGTTTCACATGAACAACATTGCAGTTTCAACTTTCATCCCACCATTGCACTCACCATCAGTGTAATAAGATTCTGTAGAGTCATTACTTATCTTCTCCGTGCTGTACTGCCTTCCCGGGGACCTACCTATATTGTGAGTGTGAACTATAGTGCCCTTTAATCCCCTTCTTCCTCCTTCCCCACCCACCCTCTCCACCCCCTTCCCTTTGGTAACCACTAGTCCCTGCTTGGAGTCTGTTGAGTCTGCTGCTTTTTTGTTCCTTCAATTTTGCTTTGTTGTTATACTCCACAAATGAGTGAAATCATTTGTTACTTGTCTTCCTCTGCCTGGCTTATTTCACTGAGCATAATAATACCCTCTAGCTCCATTCATGTTGTTGCAAATGGTAGAATTTCTTTTTCTTTTATGGCTGAATCATATTTCATTGTGTATATGTACCACCTCTTCTTTATCCATTCATCTACTGTTGGATACTTAGGTTGCTTCCATATCTTGGCTATTATAAATAGTGCAGCAATAAACAGAAAGGTGCATATGTCTTTTTGCATCTAGGATCTTGTTTTCTTAGGGTAAATTCTTAGGAGTGGAATTCCTGGGTCAAGTGGTATTTCTATTTTTAGTGTTTTTGAGGAACCTCCATACTGCTTTCCCCAAAGGTTGAACTAATTTACATTCCCACCAACAGTGTAGGAGGGTTCCCCTTTCTCTGCATCCTTGCCAACTTTTGTTGTTCCTTCTTTTGGATGTTGGCCAGCCTAACTGGTGTGAGATGATATTTCACTGTGGCTTTAAATTTGCATTTCCCTGATGATCAGTGATGTGGAGCATCTTTTCATCTGCCTCTTGGCCATCAGAATTCCTTCTTTGGAGAAGTGTCTGTTCAGATCCTCTGTCCATTTTTTTCATCAGATTATTTATTTTTTGGATTTTGAGGCATGTGAGTTTTTTATATATTTTGGATGTTAACCCCTTAAAGGATAAGTCACTTACGAATATATTCTCCCATACTGTAGGATACCTTTTTGTTCTGCAGGTATCCTTTGCTGAAGAGAAGCTTTGTAGTTTGATGTAGTCCCACTGGTTCACTTTTGCTTTTGTTTCCCTTGCCTGAGGAGATGTGTTCACGAAAAAGTTGCTCACGTTTATATTCAAGAGATTTTTGCCTGTTTTCTTCTAAGAGTTTTATGATTTCATGACTTACATTCAGGTCTTTGATCCATTTTGAGTTTACTTTTGTGTATGGGGTTAGACAATAATCCAGTTTCATTCTCTTACATGTAGCTGTCCAGTTTTGCCAACACCAGTTGTTGAAGAGGCTGTCATTTCCCCATTGTATATCCATGGCTCCTTTATCATACATTAATTGGTCATAAATGTGTGGGTTTGTATCTGGGCTCTCTGTTTTGTTCCATTAATCTACAGGTCTGTTCTTGTGCCAGTACAAAATTGTTTTGATTACTATGGTTTTGTAGTACAGTTTGAAGTCAGGGAGTGTAATTCCCCCAGCTTTGTTTTTCTCTCTCAGGATTGCTTTGGCTATTCAGGGTCTTTTCTGGTTCCATATGAATTTTAGAACTATTTATTTTAGTTGGTTGAAGAATGGTGTTGGTATTTTGATAGGGTTTACACTGAATCTGTAGAAATGCTTTGGGCAGGATGGCCATTTTGACAATATTAATTCTTCCTATCCATGAGCATGGGATATATTTCCATTTATTGGTGTCTTCTTTAATTTCTCTCATGAATGTCTTGAGTTTTCAGGGTATAGATATTCATCTCCTTGATTAGGTTTATTCCTAGGTATTTTATTCTTTTTGATGAAATTGTAAATGGTGGTGTTTTCCTGTTTATTTCTGCTAATTCATTGTTAGTATATAAGAATGCCACAGATTTCTGTGTATTAATTTTGTATCCCGCAACTTTGCTGAATTCAGTTTTTAGTTCTAATTGGTTTCTGGTGTAATCTTTAGGGTTTTCTATGTACAATATCATGTCATCTGCAGTGACAGTTTAACTTCTTCCTTACCAATCTGGATGCCTTTTATTTTTTGTGTGTTGTCTGATTGCTGTGGCTAGGACCTCCAGTACTATGCTGAATAAAAGTGGGGAGAGTGGACATCCTTTTCTTGTTCCCAATCTTAAGAGGAAAAGCTTTCAGCTTTTTGCTGGCAAATATGATGCTGGCTGTGGGTTTGTCATATATGGCCTTATCTAGGTTGTGGTACTTACCCTCTATACCCATTTTGTTGAGAGTGTTTACCATGAATGGATGTTGAATTTTGTCAAATGCTTTTTCGGCATCTATTGAGATGATCGTGTGATTTTTGTCCTTTTTGTTGATGTGGTGGATTATATAATTATTTTTCCACCTTCCCACTAATGGTCATTTAGCTTGTTTTTAGGTTTTGGATTAGTTCATTCATTATGGTTGAAATTGAATACTTTCTTAGTTGGTATCTATAAGCAAACCAGGAGTATTATAAACAAAGCTACTATGCTCTCTTTGAATATTCCTTGGTATGGGTCTGCAAGAGTTTCTCCAATATATATGCCTAGGAATGGGATGACAGAATTATAAGATATGTGCATGTCAATTTTATAAGATAAAAGAAAATTTGCAAAATGTTTATAGAAATTTATACCCCATCAGTTGTTGGCATTTCATGATTGGTTTAATTTGCATTTACCTGATTATTCATTACCTTTTCACAAGTTTATGTACGGGCTGTTCATTTTCTATGCAATGTAGATTTCTGTAACTTTTGACCAAGTGTTCTTTCGGATTTGACTTTCTTTTTCTTGGTGCTTTACATGGCCTCTTTAGTCTTCATATAAATCCTTTATCAATTATACCTTTATCAGTAAACTCTTTTATCAATAATATGTGCTATAAACTTCTATTGGAGTTTGTGGTTTGACTTTTCATTTTCTTTA